CTTCTGATTGGCTGCTGCGGTTTTGCGTTGAATGGGGGTCGCTAACTGCGAGGAAGTTGTTGTCGGAACTTCCTTTGCCTTCACTCTTCTCGTCTTCCGCTTCCTCTTCTATAGTGTCTGGAATTCCGTCCTCATCGACTAAAATATTGATATTCAAAAAATATCTATTTATAAGTTACTCCATTTTGAGAAAGACAAAAGATCTTCTATCAAAAAAAAGAAAACTATTTTTCTAGTTAAGTTAGTCCTATATTGAAATGTATTATTTCTATATAGACATAAATTAAGAGTTTCACTTTAATTCACCTGTGTCCTCCAGAGGCAACAAACTACAAGTTTATCAATTCGAAACAAAGTTGACATTTTTATTTTCTACCACACAATTGATAGACTTCAACTAAAACTCAAATTCCCACCTTAATTCACTCTAGAATTAATATTGCAAGAAATAAAAAAAAACTATTAATGTAAAGGAAATAGTTCAAATTATCGCCGAAGGTAATTTTAGTGCCTTTTTCAAGTTGCTTGGCGGGAAATAGAAGTATTCTAAGAAGTCCAAATAAGGGCCTTTTGGATGGCCAAGGTCTCGAGTTGCTGAAGATTTGATTGCGCTCCGCCGCCAAATAACAGTGGCGTTTCAGATTTTTGCAACCGACTCTTTTTTAAGTTGTCATAGATGATTGATTGATGGTTTTGTGTGAGTGATTGATGGTTTTTCAGGAAAAAAAATTATAGAAATTTTTTTGACCAATTTTATATTTTGAGATTTAACAAAACGCCAGAGAAAAACTTTTTTTTTCGAAAAAATTGAGCCTTAATTTTAATTCATTGAAAATGAACCGAAAGCCTACAGCACTTTACTTACAAAACAATTCTGGTTTTTTAAAACCTGCCACCTCCCCCCTAAATATCGAAGTTTTTTCGGCAGCATTAATGCTACCAAACCACTCACTATTATTGTCGCTTTCTGAAATGTAATGGATGTCATCTAATTCGTATGACGAGTGTTGGTGCTCGCAGCTGTCGCCCAAACCAGTTCCCGTCGGATCCTGCTCCCCTACCTTAAGCTGCCGGACTAAGTTCTTCCGGAACTTCAGAGACAAGCGCCTCTTGCCCGCAGCCGCTCCCAGTGCAACAACGGCCGCACCCAACCCCATATGGGTACCCAAACTGTCGTGATGATGACTCATCATCCCGCTAACAGTACAGTACCCCCCTCGGTGATCTGCTGGTCTGCACTCGGGGGGACTTTCTGGAACACAATCATGATATTGAAAACATACTTTGTTGTTCTTTTGCGCTTAAATTAGTTTAACGATTGAATCAGTGATCCATTGATTATGAGTAGCTATAATCGACAGCAGGTAATAAAATGGTCACAAGAATCAAATTCAACCCGACCATGAGGAACCTTTAAGGTCGCCCCGTTAAAGAAGATCTTTACAAATTAAATTAAGCCACATCATGTATAAAAGAAAATTTGAGCTGCTCAAAATTATACGGGGTAAATAGCTTTTTTAGTAGGTTTATATAAGCTTTTAATTAATATTTTCACTTTTAAGTCCAGCGGGTGCTGGGGGTTGGGGTATACGACCCTCTGCCCACCCAAAGGGTAACCCTTTGTACTATTTTGAGTTATCCTCTTTTGGCTGACTGACCCTAAAATTTTTCTAAAGGTGCCTTAAATATACTAATTTTGAGGAAGGAGCTAGCGCCAAAAAAAACGCAAGGTCCAAATTTTCCAAAAAGTGCTTAAAACGCCTTTTTTGGCCTGTTTTTTTTCCGAATTTTGCGCAAAAAATTTGATCCAAATTGGGTCTTTTTTAGGGGCGGATTTAGGGGGGGGGGGGCGTCAGGCGGACGCCTTCAACGCCCCCCCCCCATCAGGGATTCGACCCCCTGCCGACCCAAAGGGTCTCCCCTTTGATACTTTTTCAGGAATCCATTTTTGGCCGACCAACCCTAAAATTTTTCTAAAGGCGCCTTGGGTGCCAATTTATACTAACTTTGATGGGGAGCGCGCGCCAAAAAAAAACGCGATTTTTTCGTCAACATTTTTCAAAAAGTGCCCAAAAACGGCTTGTTTGACTGCTTTTTCAAAAATTTACCTGCGGCGCAGAAAATTTTGCCAAAATAGGGGCAAAACAGTGCTTTGGGAGAGCCTCGAAAATCAATTTGGTCGACCTAAAAAAAAAAGGTCGTCAAAATTTTGGAAAATTTTTTGAAAATCCGTCCCCCCCCCCCACCTCGAGAAAATCCTAGATCCGCCCCTGGTCTTTTTACTGACTATTTGGTCGACCTAAAAAAGGTTGATATATTTTCGAACCCCCAAACCCCCCCCCCCCCCCCACCCCTCATGAAAACCCTAGATACACCACTGCCCCTGCCAGCAAATTTTTTTACAAGGCTGATGGGGGGCTATACTCAGAAAAGCCAAAACAGCCCTATACAAGTTTGCCACGCATAAAAATGTGTCATCTTCGAATGCAAGATGATTGGGTGAAAATCCAATAATGATGCTAAAAATTAAAACGCGTTTTTAACCGTGTTTTTTTAAGGTTTTTCAAAAGCATATCTTATAAAACCTGGCAGGGTTCATGGATGGCTCCGCTAGGAAGACCTGGACTGCCCAGGACTCTTTAAGTTCCTGGCAGGAAGTCCAAGTCCAAGGTAATCCCCTGGCTATTTAACCCGGGTCATAATGTCTACCTGTAAGGTCCTCGACCATGATTGTGATGTCCTTGGCGCAGTTGCACTCCTTGGGAATAGGCAGGGCCACGATAGGCGAGGAGCGTATGAGGTCATCCAAACTGAGGTCCAGAGCCTCGGCGAAGCTCTCGTCCAGCCGCCAATAGCCTTCAGGTTGCAGTTCATTCACCAACAGCTGCATACACGTGTCTACAACAAACACACATGTGTCATTCTGCAGAAAAAAATCGCTCATATTCTCAAATCGTAGTCCCTCAACTGCCAACCCCCCCCCCCCCCACCACACCTTGCTCATTAAGTTTCAAATGTGGAACTTTGTGTTTTTGTAGGTAACAGAATGTTACGCGAAGGCTAAAACTTCAGCATCAGTCATCTCTGCAAAATCTTAGCAAAAACACAAAAAATGTTCACTGATTTTTTTTTAATTTGAGCATTTTCGAGTTTAAAAAATTAAGGTAAAAATTATGATACCACATAAAATACTGCGATTTCACTCTTTCCTCTGGTTAGTTTAAAAAGCAAAAAAATTTCCAGCATTTTTTCTTTGCGCTGGATAATTTTTTTAAAATTCTCAATTGCATCTCAGACATCTCAGTGGAAAATTTTTCTGAAAAATTTTGCAACTTAGGACTTCTCGGATTTACCTTCAAGTTTTAATCTTTTGACAAGATTTAAAATAAATGTGAAGAAATTACTTTCAACTGAAAACGAGTCTGAGCGGGTGAGTTCTGCCAGTTGTCTGCCACGTTGCAGTCGGCCACCTGCCCCTCCTGTGCTTCTCCCTATGGTTCGTCCCAGAGGGGGAAGATTAAGAGTGGCTCTCCTTGACAACTGGTGGATCCTGGCCATGACTATATCCCGTAGTCGCCCCCCACCCTTCGCCCACCTGCTGCCATTGCTGCCGTTCACTTCATCCACCGACTCCAAAGCTACTTGTCTCTCTGCACAAAACGAAAGAAAAGTTGGGTCGTTTGTATTATACGGCTCAAAATATCAAACTCTTAATTGATTTTCTGTTTTCATTGACCACGATTAAATTTCTTTGCGCTGATACTAATTTTGGGGGCTATTCTCATGCGCGAAGGACTAAATGGGCGAAAAAACTTGTGGGCCAATGACCGAAGACAAAATTAGCCAAAAGTCAATTTTTGAAAAGAAACAATTGCCATTCAGTTAAAATGAATTAAATGAAGCAAAAGTTTGCTTCTTTCATTACGAAACCCCTGAAATGTAAAAATTTGCCCCCATTTTGCAGAGGTCAATGGCAATTTAAAAATTTTGCATTTTTCTGCCGTTTTTATATTCGGCCAGTATCAATACTCCAGTACCTGGAAATGTTTACTTTCTTTCCAAATTTTAGATTACTGAAATCTGATTGGCTGATTTTTATTTTCGCGCATTCGTTCCTTCGCGCATGATGGATTCCACCACTAATTTCAGCCAATCAGATTCCAGTGTCATCATCAAGCTTTCAAATGCAAGATGATGACACTTAGGACGTCTCATCTTGATGACGCTTAGTGTGGCGTCCCTCATGCTTGATGGACCGAATGCTTGAAATCAATTTTAGCTTACTTTCAGTCAATCAGAATTGAGTTTTCAGTATCTCAAAGTAAATCGCGAAAACCTCAAAGTAAGAATATAAATCCAGGCCATTAGTGTTAATATTGACCGATTAGATAATAAGCAGTTGAGTTTTCTAGACTGAAATGTTCTTATGATTTTGAACTCGTTAATCTTGATGATTATCTCAATAGCAATGCGATTGTAACCCGCAATTTTTAAAATTTTTGATTATTTTCTACTGACTTAATACATTTTCTGTTTATATTGATTTCGATTTTGGAGAGAAAGGCATTTAGCCAATAGACGCTTAGCGATTTTGATTGGTTGAAATTTTTCAAGCATTCGGTCCATCAAGCATGAGAACCCTCCCCGGACCGAATGCTTGCTTGAAATTAATTTTAGCTTACGTTCAGCCAATTGGAATTGAGTATTCAAAATCTCAAACTAAATCGCGAAAATCTCAAATTAAGAATATAAATCCAGGCCATTAGTGTTAATATTGACCGATTAGATAACAACCAGATGAGTTTTCTAGACTGAAAAACTCTTATGATTTTGACCTCAACAATTTTGATGATTATCTGAATAGTATTGCGGTTGTAGCCCGCAATTTGTAATATTTTTGATTATTTTCTACTGATTTAATACATTTTCTGTTAATATTGACTTCGGTTTTGTGAGAAAGGCATTAAGCCAATAGAAGCGCTTAGTGATTCTGATTGGTTGAAATTTTTCAAGCATTCGGTCGGCCCGTCAAGCATGAGAACCTCCCCGACACTTAGGACGGGGGCGTTCAACAGTACCGAAGTACAACAGTGCCGAAAATGAAAACGTATTCAACAGTGCCGAAAATTGATGATTTTCGGCACTGTTGAACAAAAAAATTTATGTTCAGCACTCTTGTACTTCGGCACTGTTTAGCGACTTGCTAAGGGCAGCGCAACAATTCCGAGGTACAACAATGTCGAAAATAATTTTTTTGTTCAACAGTGCCGAAAATCATCAACTTTCGGCACTGTTGAACAGTTTTTCATTTTCGGCACTGTTGTACTTCGGCACTGTTGTACTGTCCCCTTGGGACGTCTCATCTTGATGACCATTAGGACGTCTCAAGAAGGTGCGTACCCACAGAGCTGCATTCCCGGCTAGCCGAAAAAACTGAAAATTTCTCGTTAAGGTAATTAGTAACAAAACAAAAATTGACTAAAAAAGGCAAATTCGTCACAAAGTTTAAACAACTTTTATTTGAACGATTAAACTATCTTGTTTTTTTTTACGGCGCTAGCTAACAAAAATTTAATTGACTCAAAACAATTTTTATGCGTAATAGCTTTGTTTTCATGGAATCAGAAAGCAATAGAAGTGCGACACTACTATGATAACGCAATATTTTTTTTCGGCTATCCGGGAACAAAATTTATTTTCGGTTATTCGGGAACAAAATTTTTTTCGGCTATCCAGTAAAAAATTATTTTTGATTATCAGGAAACAAAGATCTTTTCCAAAAACTTAGCAAATAAGAGCAAAACTGAATAAGTGTCTTGAGATGAACGCAGGGAGCATGCCCCAAAAAAGTGATCAAAACCTCAACTTTTTGCCAATTTTTTGTAAATACTTGCATCCGTCGCAAAGGTTCGTTCAAAGAGTTACAGAGTTAAGGGTTCGCTTTATAGAGTTAAGGGTTTGCTCAAGTTTAGCCGACCTCAAAAAAATCTCGATATTTTTTAGTTTTTTAAAGCGATCCTTTTCCCCCATCTTAAAATATTTCCATTCTGAAGGTCTATAAATTACGTGAGAGGGGGGGGCTAAAATGGGAAAAACTTATTATATTTTAATATTTTAAGCAAATAATTTTTGGTGTGGATCGATTCGAATTTTTTTGGCTAACTGGACTAAAAAGATTTCGGCTATCCGCGAACAAAACACTTCGGCTATCCGGGAACATATTTATTTTTCGGCTATCCGGGAACGATTTTATCTTTCGGCTATCCGTGTATTCGGCTCCGTGACATGCCACCATTCAGAAAACTCGAGATTAAAAAACTCATTCGAGATTAAAAGGTTTTGAAGTAAGGCTTTTCAGCCAATCAGATTTGAGCACAGTACACACGGGCCTTACGGCTTGATTTGCCATTTAATGATAGGGGGCGATTGTTCACTTGGTCTTTTCAGTGGGATATTGTTCACATAGGTCAATTTTCGTTCTGAAAGTCACATCTTGAAAAACCAGAATCAAACTCAAAACACAACTTGAATAAAAGTGATGTGTTGTTTCCGTTATTCCGCCCAAAATAGCTTAACAGCGAATCATCTTCTAACTGTGCGTTTTGCTCGAGCTACGCGCAACTGTTGGTTTAACTTTCAACCAATCAGATTTGAGCATGTGGTTCTCTGCTTTTAGAGTTTTTGAATTACATTTTCGAGAGGAAAAAGTAAAAAGACCCGAGAGCCTCTCTGTCTATAGTACCGAAGTCGATGAGGTCGGCGAAGGGGGTAGATAGCTTGAAGTAGTCGCTTCTCTGAGCGTAGAGCAGGTCAGCCGCTGTCTGTCGACTATCCATCTCTGAAACAACAAACAAAACACAAGTAGCTTAAAAATTGAACGCTTAGATCTCTTCAACTACTCCCTACTGCAAAATGAAAACGAGGGGGGGGGGGGGGGGGGGGGTGGTTGGATTAGATATTTTTTATTAGGTACTGTTGGGGGAAATTTTTAAGGAGATTCGAACTCTTCGCCGACTTTTCCTTTAGATTTGCGGATCTTTTTCGTACTTTTTTCGGATGTTTGACCAATCGAATGTTTGCACTATGGCTTAAATTACCCGCTCTCACAAAAGTGTTTTCGGATCAATGTAACGAATCAAAAAAGCGGTCGATGCCAGTCAGATTTTTTGCACAAAAATATTCTATAGCATCATAGAATTTACTCAATGTAAGCAAGATTTTGAGCAAAAAAAAATTTTGTAGAAAAATCGAGAAATTGATCAAAATAAATCCAAATTTGAGTTCAAAAAACGCAAAGACCTCATAGCAAATTATCAATGTAAGCGTAAGTGGATAATTAAATCATTCCGAATTGGAAAAAAAATTGATTTTTAAAAACTGTTTGTTCTTTTTATTATACTAGCAGACGCTATGGATGTAAATTTAAAATTGAATGGCAATGAGTAAATGCAACAAATCAATAATGATGAAAAAATTGAACAGAAAAATTGATCCAAATCGATTTTAATCCGTTTTAACCCCCTAAAACCAAAAACAAGTAAATACTGGAAAAAAATGGTTTTAAAATCGTTAAAAATTGATTTGGATCAATTTTTCTATCTGGGATTGAGCTTTAACACCAATTTGAATTTGAACTTTTTCTATTTAATCTGCATAAATTTTTCCTGCTAAAATTGATCTCAATTTTATCGACATACAATCAATCTAATCTTTTTTTGTCAGTGCGGATATTATCGAAAATCGTGTCATATTTTTGTTAAAAAACCAGCCGAATTATAAACCAACCGAAAATGCGCGGAGTAAAAAAACGTGCAGAAAATGTACATCATGTGAATGAAATCTGCACAACTTTCGTAATTGTTGCATAGCTATTATATACCCGGGTTGACCAAAATTTTTTATCATACAATTTCCATATATGAAAAATCTCTTGTCATTCAATTTCATACAATTTCATACGTACAGAAAATTCTACGAAATCTCTATGATAAACATTTTCTATTCATGAAAATTGCATGATAGGTGTCTTTACATAAACCAAAATGTTGATTTTTTGTTTCTTAATTTAATTGGTTTACTCCTTGGTTTACTCAAAGCACTAAAGATTGGACGGTATCGCATTAAAATGCATAAGAAACGGCCTGAATTGTCTTAGAGCTGTCTTTCACAAATGATATAAGGGAAGTACCAACTTTTAAACTTTGGCAAATATTTTCACCGATGGTTATTTTAAAAAATTTAAATTTTTAAATTATCAGACATTGATCAAGGCATACATAAACACGCCATACAAAAGAAATAGGAGTTTTCAGCGTTTTTGATAAAAAATTATAAAGCGAAAAAGAAAAAACCAACCTTATCGTATCCAGGACTACGTTATGCACTCAAAAAAATAAGTTTTGCATACAATTTTTTTTTTTAAATGAAAAATGTTTGTTTGCGTACGACATTCGATTTGCGGTTGAATAAAAAAACAAACAAAAAAATTTTTGGGGCAAATTTGAAATTACTTGGTAAAATTTTTGTGTCGTCATCAAAAAAATGCCAGTCATGCATTTTCAATATATGGGAAATGTATGATAAGCATTTTTTTTCAAAAAACGAAAATCTCGGTTTTTTATCACCAGACTGTTTTATTTGAATCAAACAGCCGCAGAAATTAGTTCATACTTTTTGAACCATTTTTCGAAATTGTATGAAAATTGTATGACAAGCTTTTTTCCACACACTTGATCTATGGAATTGTATGATAAGCATTTTCGGTGTATGGAGGTCAACCCAGGTAACCGCAGTTTTTCAACAAACCGTCATACCTTGAAGCCGAAATTACATCAGAACTTCGTTGAATACATCAGAATTACGTAACAATTGCATAACAACAGCGGCAATCTATTGTTACGTTGCATTACAATATTATTTTTCAGCTGGCTAGCGCTTCGGCTTGTTGGCCTATCATCTGTATAACACTTACGCATTTTTTGGCTGGTTGATGCGCCCCTACTCCTACGCTTACCCCTGAGTTCTTTCTCGTCCCCCCCCCTAAATGGGCCCCTACTCCTACGCTTACCCCTGAGTTCTTTCTCGTCTCCCCCCCCCCCTAAATGGGCCCCTACTCCTACGCTTACCCCTGAGTTCTTTCTCGTCTCTACCCCCCCCCCCCCCCCTAAATGGGCCCCTGCTGCTACACTTACCCCTGAGTTCTTTCTCGTCCATGTCGTTGGTGGCGATGGAGAGGGACTTGTGCAGCTGGCTGTCGGCACTGTTCCACCCACTGTGTCTCTGCCTCGCACTCCTCCTCCACAACTCACTCACCAGTCGGTTGGGGGGAGCCAGGACATAGATGTGACGGGGCATCTGCAACTTCCTAAACCACCATCCTAATCATCATAACCATTCTCTTCATAATAACAATCCCGTCTTTTCTGTTATATTCAGGGTAGACTTTCAGTGGGTATTTATTTAGCCATTCGTCTATTCTCTCCTTGGTCATTTTGGTTCTTTATAATGTTTGTGACGATGTTGTGAAAAAACTTGATTTGGGAGAAATAAATTCTTTCTTTCTTTCTTTGTTATGCGGCCCAAAATGACCAAAACGTTGAATGCGCTGATATGTTTTGCAATTAAGCTCCAAGTTTCCATCGTCCAATCACAACCAAGAACTATATTCCATTTTTCAAAATAGCAAAACTATGAATTACAGAAAAGACCATAACGATCATAATGAATTTGTTTTCATGAAGAGAACAGACTCGATTTATACAACTGATTAAATTAGTAAATTTCATCTTGGAGGAGCGCCCAAAAGGCCAGTTATCTGCCTATATCCAGTACTGTGGTGTCTTCAGATTTCATCGAATCTCATCCTTTAAATAAAACTAATTCCACAGTTGTCAAATATATTTAAATTATGCGAGCCAAGCAAATAAAACAAAGGGGGTGGTTTAAAATTCACATATCTTGAACCTGTCACATATAAAATTTTGCACAAAAACATCCAAATTTTGATGAGCAAAGTAGACATCAGTTTTTTGTTTCTTAGTTTTTGTTAGCTCAGCTATCCTTGTTTACTTTCTATACTTTTTGAACTTATTGGCCTGAAAAACGCAAACAGGATACGTAATGGCTGATGGCAGTCATGAAAATGTCAATCAATACTTTTTATACCTTCTCAAATTGAAACAACAAAATTATCGTCTTCATTGACCTTTATAAGTCTTTATTAGTCAAAAGTTAAAGACCTTAATTATATATTTTTTTAAATTAATCTGTTTAGTTTACGTAATGAAACAGTGTGTTTGCTTTATTTTAGATAACTTTTTGAAACCAAATCTCCCAAATGGAAAAAATTACTTCGTTTTCGAAACTGTATAAAACTCGTTTTTCCGAAATAGTTAAAGGAAGTTTGAAATTAGAAAACTGCCGGAAACAAAAACTCCCGGCTGTAGACCATTTGATAGAAGCTGAAACTTTTCGTACGACGGAATGTATAATTCGAGGTCTTTTAAGCAAAATCCTCTTTTTCCAAGGCTTCTGTGCTACTTGGAAACTTTTGTAAAAACTGAGTTGTCATAATTAATATTCAATAGTTTTCGCCATTTTTACTCGTGAGGTCCCTTCAATTTTAGAAAAACTCAAAAATTCGAGCAAATTCGGTTTCCGAAAAAAGTGCAAATAGTTTTCTTCATCGACTCATCTGTATTCATAACCAAATATCATACTGTACTCACTTTTTGCCTAACTTAGTTTATTTTCAAAAGTTCATTGCATTCAGAAACTCTTGAGCAAAATTTTGATAATCGAAATTCTTATTGTGTACAACTGATTTTGCATCAAAAAAACTTTCGACTCGATTTCTCTATATACAAATGCAGAGTTGCACAAGACCTGTTTTCTGTCGTTTTTGAGACATTTAAAGTCTAGGATTAGTAAAGTTAGGCTAGGATCTCAAAAGAGCAATTTAAATGTACAAATAGCTACTTTTCATTTTAAATATCATTTTTGCGTGTCAATGTTTTTTCATTGGGTTCGTATATGGAAACGGTATTACAATAGATTATATAATTAGCCTGTTTGGCTTATACTTCATTTGTAATTAGCATATTTGCTCTATTATGAAGGTCAAATCAGTAGGCGATGACTCCAACATCGCGCTTTTTGTGAATTATTTATAAATTGGGTAATAACGAATCCATTTTTCGGGAAATAGTTATCCGCCTACGTCCTGATCTTAAAATGCATAAAATGCTTAATCGGTCAAAAATAAGGTAAACTCATGTATTATTTTTTTTAAAATGAACGATAAATTAAGCTATAATTTAACAAGACCAGCTGCTCTTGTCAAGGCAAAACTCGGATTGTTATGATTGCCCTTTAACGTCTATAAATTACCTTATGTTCAGATAAATTTGATTATTAGGCTATGTAGAAAAAATAAGTGACATAATTGGATTTGGTTAGTGCATTTTCGAAGTTCAAAAAACAACCTCGAATGATTGGTAAAAATTTTTGAGCCGAATTATTTGAACTATTCGCTCGACAAAGAAAGAAATATCTTCGTGGGAAAAAATTTAAGAAACTAAAACACTCCCGAATACCAAGTTAATATCGAATTTCAATTGTCGGAACAAAAAAACTGAATTGGATAAAAATTATTCCAATAAAGTTAGAGTTTAAAATTGCTTGTTTTTTAACCTCCTAACGGACTTATTGAGGTTAACTAGTGTTCATCAGTTCAATTCGAGAAAAAAACTTGTGCGGATTAGTTTTGTTGCGTTTAAACAAACTGCGATCACTCGTTGAGCATCATAGAAAAATTATCAAAAAACGCATACATGGTCCAAGTTGGTCTTTTAAATCCCAACAATTTTATCAAAATTTGTTGATATAACTAACATGATATAACTAACTTATATTTGAAATTAGAGAGGTGATATTTTTTAGAGTAGAAAGGGTATTTTTCTTTAAACAAATTGTTTTGATCGGCAATTTGCTGTGATTAAAATACCATCTCCGGTGTGAACAATTTGTTGCTTTTGTGGAAGTCGGGGAAGCAATTGATTTGAGCTCAACCTATCAGGACAAAAGTTTTTTCCTTTCTGCCTCGAACTATGCTGTTCTTTTGCTCCATGCCCTTTTTAAACAAAACACTTGGATTGCGCTATTTCTGAGCTCGTTAAGCTGCTGGTGAGCTTTACATGAAAATCGCATTCAAATGCACATTGGCCGTTATAATAGACGCTATACATGTTGGGAAAGTTTTCAAACTGCTTCATTGATTTGGTTCATACTTTCAATGTTTAATTTCACAAAATAGGTGTTCTCAGTTATTGTTCCGACTTTCGATACGAAAGTAACGGAATATTTGTGATCGGGGTGGGTTTTTTTTTCTTCAGACAAATTTCGACTTTTTAACTAGCCATTTTTGACGGAATTTTTTTATATCATTCAAAAAGTATTGCTGCCCTGAGTTTAAATTTGAAAAGATATTTTACCTGTGATCATTTTTTGTAAAGTTATGAGGGTTTAAAGATTGCTATTTTGACCAATTTGTTACAATTCACGCGCGATATAATTCACGCTATTAACGCGTAAGCGGAGATTTAATCCGTCTTATAAATCGTTCCAAATTGGTTCAACGAAGCTTAATTGCCATAATTGATTTGTTACAAGGAACGAAATCTATATTTTTGTACTTTATATGGCGTGTGGGGGGATGATTTTCATAAAAAATTTCAAATTTTAGAAAAAAAAAATTCTTTTTATTTTTTTTTTCATTTAATTTTTTTGTGTTATTACTGCTGCTCCATAAACCTTAAAAGGCAGTCGGAACATTCAGGGCTTCGCCCTGATACGAGCTGTCTTGTTGATTTTTGGTTCCATCTGACACTTTTTATTACCTGAAATGGAAAAAAATTATTCATTTAACCCCAACAAGTTGTCGGTGTATTTTTTTTCTCGTTGTGCATAAATGATAGCAGTTTCATGCAACCTAGCCGCTTTTTGATCCAAATTTTGACGAAAGTTCGGGACAATTGTTCTTGGGGGGGTTGCTTGCTCAAAACTCGGTGATCGATATTAACGATATCAAAAAATTCTATACCTCACTGTAGATATTGGATTAACCAAGCAATCCCTTCTCTCTAATTGACCTACAGTTAATTTCCCTCTAGTCATCTAATAATTTTGAAAGCTGAATCCCGACAGTTACTTAGCTTTTGATCTAGTTTTCATACAGAGCAGACATTTTCTTTAATTTTTTCATATTTCTAACTTAGTTTTTTATCCAAAATAATCTAAGCCAAGGCTACCCGTACAGAAGTTCTATGGATAATAATGAATTATATTGTCATTTTTTAGTCAGTATCAAAAAAAATTATATAGATAATGGATTTTAATCCATCAAAAAAGAATTAGTAAAAGAAATCCTAGTATTTTTACATCAATATAATCCATTATAATCGATTACAATTGGTTATAATTCATCAAAAAAGATTATAATCATAATATTTGTTTAATCAATATAATCCTTTATAATAGATTATAATCGATTATAACGTATTTTTTGAAAAAAACTACAAATTTTGCAAATTTTGTTTCTTCAAAGTTATCTTATTTCTTGTTCGTGCAGTTGCTACGTATAACGTTTCATAAATTTTTTTTTCACAAAAAAAAATTTATTTGCCTAAAATTTCTCTACTGTTTCTATACTACGTAAACTCCATTGCCTCTTTTAACAACCCCCTTCCCCAGTTTAACCCCCGCGCACAGCTTACATCTCGTCAGTCCCCCCCCCCCCGGGTTTTAATGGATTGTGTTCTTAAAAAGATAATCGATTTCGTGGTCTAAGTTTGCATTAATAATGGATTATAATGAAAACATTTTAGACAAAAATTTTCCATTAAAATCAATTATTATCCATGGAACTCCGGTGCGGTTACTTCTAGAGAAAAAAAGGTTGGTTCGCGCCCACAATCCCATTGTTTCTAGACAAGAGCATTAATGCCCCTTGACCTGAGGATTTTTAATATAGCAACCTAATTAGATAATTAGATATAGCAACCTAATACAAAGAAACACTTTCGACATTAGGGATTAACTTGCATCGTGTTGCTACGACTATTGTGTAAACTAGAAGCATGTAGATTTAACGCTCATCTTGTTTCGGCTGAGCGTTGAACTGATTTTAGGTATTATTTCTAACAAGTTGTTATTTTCTCATATTGAACAGTTTTGTACAGAATACCAGAAAATTAGGTTGTATTATCTATATAAATTTTATAATACTGAGTTAAGCTCTCCCTCAAGTGCTGTGTAATACTACCCCCCCCCCCCTCCCCTCCTCGCCCCCCACTTCCCATAAACATCAATTTTGGGGTTCATAAATAGTCCGCATGATAATTTTTATTACAATCAGACAATAAGAACCATTTTTTTTAATGTGGAGGAGGGGAGGAAAACGAGCCCACCTCCCTGTCCCCTCAATTTAGAAAAAAGTTTGGTTCTTATTGTCTGATTGTGATAAAAATTGGCCTGAGGACTAATTATGCACCAAAAAATTGTTTTTTTTTGTGAGGTGGGAGGGAGGGGAAAGTGGGAGCCAGAGGGAGGAAAGATGTTTGCTTTTGATCCGACTTCCCACTTGTACATCAATAACAAACTTATTTGTGCAAATTGATCTTACATGCTCATTTCCATAGTGCGTTGTTCTGTGTAGTTGGACACCACCCCTGTCATTTTGCTCAGCTCAGCTATCTTCCGCTTCCACCGTTTGGGGATGTCGTATGCACGCAAGTAGCGAGATCTTCTGCTGCAGTCTAAACTCAAAAAGTCGTTGTTTCATACGTTTGTTACATCGTAAAATTGTTGTTTCATACGTTTTTTTAAAGTTTTTTGAGCAAAAATTATCAAAGTTTTTAGAAAAAGTGAAAGAAAAAGTCAAAAACTTTTACACAGCTCTTATTGAAATCAAGGAATATTCATAAGAAAACGTTTTTTTTTTAGTTTTTTGAGCAAAAATTATCAAAGTTTTTAGAAAAAGTGAAAGAAAAAGTCAAAAATCTTTACTCAGCTGTTATTGAAATCAAGAAATTATCAAAAGAAAGGATTCAGTGAAACCAGTGAAGTAGATTTAGGTTTTAAAATGTTGAAATTGCCTATAATGTAGATTACTGGTTGATTTCAGAGGAGACAATGCCGTTCTCAAACCAAAAGAACCCAGTTTTTTTTTCTAATATTTAGAGTAAGTTGTGTTTTCTTCACCCCTTTTTGGTAAAAACTCAAGCAATTTGTGATTCTTCATGTGAAACGATTTTTAAATCTGTATCAGCACTTAGAAGTTCCAAACTGTTTGATGAACAGGAAAAACTGCTTGGTCAACTAATAAAACAAATTTCAATTGCTTTCACGCAGGGAACAAGCTCATCGTCTTTATTAGTTCATACATTTTTGTCAATGATTAAACAATGACCGCTTTTAAATTATTTCCTAAGAAATTAAACTTTTCTTACAATTCTTCTAGGTCAATCTTCTAAGTACTAGCTCAGATGAAAAAGTTTCGCTTGAACAATCACAAATTGTTTTTAAAGTCATCTGGTTGAACACTGAAAAATTTTCAAATAAAGTGAAAACAGTTCATATAAATTACAAGTTCAACCGAACAATCAATTGATGTCATGCTCTCATAATAGTTGGAAACTCGAGCTTCTCAACAAGAAATTTTATTAGATAAAAAACCTCCGTCACTAATACAAACTTATAATTTCTGATTAAAAAAAGCGATTAACTTAATTTTCAATACAACTCTACTGAGTCAACTTTCTAAATACTAGCTCAGGTGAAAAAGTTTTGCTTGAGAATCATTAAATGTTTTGAAAGTCATCTGGTCGAACACTGAAAAATTTTCAAATAAAGTGAAAACAGTTCATATAAATTACCAGTTCAACCGAGCAACCAATTGATGTCATACGCTGATAACAGATGAAAACTCGAGCTTCTCAACAAGAAATTTTTTTAGATAATAAACCTCCGTCACTAATACAAATTTATATTTTCTGATTAAAAAAAGCAATTAACTAAACTTTCCATACAACTCGACTGAGTCAACTCTCTAAATACTAGCTCAGATGAAAAAATTTCGCTCGAACAATCACAATTTGTTTTGAAAGTCATCTGAATGAACACTGAAAAATTTTCAAAAAATTGAAACAGCTCATATAAATTACAGGTTCAACCGAACAATCAATTGATGTCATACGTTGATAACAGATGGAAATTCAAGCTTCTTAACAAGAAATTTTATTGGATAAAAAACCTCCTTCACCAATTCAAACTTTCTGTTTTCTAATTAAAAAGCTATTAATTAAACTTTCATTACCACTCTTCAGAGTCAATCTTCTCAGTACTAGCTCATTTTAAATTTCGGTGAATCAATAACAAACTCTTAAATTGTTTTGAACGTCAAAAGGTTGAACAATTGAAAAAAGATCAAAAAAATTAGAAAGAACAATTCATATAAAGTACAACCGAACAGGCAATTGATGTCATACGCTGATAACAGATGGGAACTCGAGCTTCTGACTAAGAAATTTTATTAGATAAAAATTCTCCGTCACAAAATCAAACTTCATTTTTTCTGATTAAAAAAATTTTAATTAACTTTTCTTGACAAATCTATTGGATCAACTTTCTAAATACTAGTTCAGATGAAAAATTTTTGCTTGAGCAATCACAAATTGTTTTGAAAGTTAGTCATCTAGTTGAACAGTGAAAAAACTTCAAAAAAGTGAAGACAATTCATATATTTTACAGGTATACAGGTACAACCGAACAATCAATTGATGTCATGCTCTCATAATAGTTGGAAACTCGAGTCTCTCAAATACAAATTTTATTAGGCAAAAATCTTC